TGACCTGCCAGGCCCGCGTCATCTTGTAGGTGATCAAGGTCAAGACGCTCCAGGTCACATTGGCGGTGACAAACACGTATTTGGGGCGGGCAATGGTCAATAAGCTGGTGCCGGGCATCTGGCACACGGCATACACCACCAAATAGGCGGTGTTCATGTAATTGTACTCCTTGCCCTGGAAGCCGAGGGCCTCTTTCATCCCGCTGATATAGGCGGACGAATAGCTGGATCGGGTGACGCCAAAGAGAAACCAGATCAACGAGAAGTAGGGCAATAAGGTAATGTCCAGTTTTGCCAGCAGAGCGCGAGTCTTGGGCTCTGACCCCCACAGTCGGATCGCCAGCCAACTGCGAAGCGAGGCCATGATGCTTCTACAGAAGGATGTGTGCACTGTTCGATTGTTCAAGGGTGGTGGTGAATGGAGCAAGCCGCGGGAAAGGCTTATCTCGACCTATATAAGTTAACGGTCGCAAAAGAGAAAGGCTTGGATAATCAGCATTACACAAGCGGGTGGCTGTCACACGCCATCTTGTGAATGGTATTTTGCTCTCGCATCCGTGAAAAGAAGAGGGGAAGAAGCCAAGTCTTATTGGTCATGGCGAAAACTCCTTGCAGATGGTGAAATCGGCCACAGCTGATAAGCATGATGCCGTTGAAGCGGTGGCTGAGTAATTATGCCGCTTTTGTGCTTCAGTACCGGCATGTAACATGCAAAAAAAGAAGCAAAAAGTGAAAGCCCAACGCGGGGGTTGAACCCGCAACCTTGAGATTAAGAGTCTCACGCTCTGCCGATTGAGCTAGCCGGGCTGGTTGGTGACTGATGTGCCTTTGTTCAAACATAACGCTGTGGCAATGTAATAATGAACCTTTGCAGCCTGTGTCGTCAATGGCCGAAGGAGGCTCGGGTGCTGGCATGATATTTCTAGCTCGGAAAGCCCGCGGATTCAGCTCTAAGAGTCTAGGTCAATAGGCAATCAGACCAAGAGGCTAGTCAGAGCATTGCATGCAATGAGCTATCCACACGTGTTTTTCCCATATATATGTTAGGCAAGATCCGCCGGTCCATGCTCATCAGAGCACAACCCCATCCCATCCACCTAATGGCCATCGTCAAGACAGATCCAGATTCTTCTACTCGAGACATCCGAGCTTCAGATAGAAGCATGTTCACAATCCCTCTGCCGATAGCGCGCCGCCATATCTCCTTAGAGATGAAATAGACCCGCCGGCCTGAAACAGGACCCTTGGCTCGGGAGCCGCGGACTGCGAAGGGGAAGAATGACTGAACACCACCACAACAGTTTGTCTTTGTCCATTCGCCTTGTCACCATCTTTTTGAATCACAATCTTTCTGCTACTTACTCAGACAAGATGTCTCCTACTGCTCCAAAAAATGTCAATCTTCCCCACGACATCGAGTATATTATCACTCCACCACCCCAGCCCTCGGCCTTCACCGCCGACGACCACCACGACGGTGGAGTTGCCCTAACCACGGTCAGTCTTCTAAATCACTACTGTATCTTAAATGATAATGCATGCTAATAGACCCATGATCAGTCCCGAGCGATTCACAACCCTCCGCTACCGGTCGACGGACCCGGCAATGAATCCTTCTCCAATCTCTGGTTGCTCAGTGCTCTGGTGGGAATTCCCGCGCTCCTGACATGGACAATCGGTGGAGGCATGAAGACCGGAGTATGCCTTGGTCTGGTTACTCTATTCCCTATGCTCATTGCCTACTGGACCTGGGCCTCGAGCTGCAGCCCTCCTACCAACACCAAAGTCAAATTACCCGGTCGGCCCATCGAACAATATGTCACCTTCAAAAACGAGGCGGATCGGGCCAGATGGCACGGTCGGAACAAAGTGCCCCTGCAAACCTTCTGCGAGATGTACCTCGACGGGGAGGTCGATTTCAATGGCGATTGTCTAGATGTCATGGAGTACCGCCACGACTGGGCCAATTTTCGGTTTACCTGGGAGCTGTTCAAGTATATCCTCCTGACCTTCGCCAGAGACGTCCTTTTCCACACCAAGTCGCAGGATGAGGAACAAATTCGGCCCAACTACGACCGAGGGAATGATCACTACGCCTGGTTCCTCGGCCCCCGGATGGTCTACACTTCGGGAATCATCTCCGATCCAGAAAGAGAGGAAACTCTGGAGGAAATGCAGGATAACAAGATGGCGATTGTCTGCGAGAAACTCGGCCTCAAAGAAGGGGAGACAATGCTCGATATCGGTTGTGGCTGGGGAACACTAGCCAAATTTGCGAGTCTCAACTACGGGGCCAAAGTCACCGGTCTCACCATTGCGCAGCACCAGACAGCTTGGGGGAATGAGGCACTCCGGGCAGCCGGGGTTCCCGAGGCACAGAGTCGGATTCTTTGCATGGACTATCGCGATATTCCCCGGATCCAGTACGACAAAATCACCCAGATCGAAATGGGCGAGCATGTCGGCGTTCGCAAGCTATCCACCTTCTTCCGTCAGTGTTACGACCTGCTCAAGGATGACGGGGCCATGTATGTTCAGCTCTCGGGTCTGCGACAGGCGTGGCAGTATGAGGATTTCATTTGGGGCCTGTATCTGAACAAGTACATTTTCCGCGGTGCCGATGCCTCGACTCCGTTGTGGTATTACGTCCTGGCCATGGAGCGGGCAGGCTTCGAGGTCAAAAGGTGAGTGTGCTTCTCCGTACTCGACTCGAACATTGGTGTGGCATCGGAGTTAACCACTCGTAATTACAGTATTGATACCGTTGGGGTCCACTACTCCGGCACTCTCTGGAGGTGGTATCGAAACTGGATTGGAAACGCTGAAACCATCAAGGCCACATATGGTCAGCGATGGTTTAGAGTACGTTTTTCATCCTGCTTAAAGGCATGAATGTGGATCTAATGATACTATAGATATGGAAACTGTTCCTGGCTTGGTCGGTCATTGCTTCTCGCCAGGGCAGCGCCACTTGCTACCAATTCGTGGTGGTGAAGAACCTCAACTCGACCCCCCGCATCAACGGAGTCTCGTCCCAGTATGGATTATCGGCTGCACTGGCTGCCAGCAGAGCCGCGGGCAAGTCGAGACTACCATGAAGGATATGTCAACTCTGAACATCGTGGGTGAGGGGTGGTGGTAGAGGTAGTAGATGGTGAAAAGGTGTAACACATGCTCCGCTTGACAAAATATATATGATGCTGCGGACTACTAAATTTCTCGAATGCGACGACGCCACCACGCCGATCTGATGGTGGCAATGAGCAGCTCACGAGTGTATATAAAGAGAATAGCCACCGGGTTGCTGTAACCTGACTCCTCAAGGTCAGCAATGGCCTATGGAAGATTGAAAGTACCAATCACTTGTGGCCGCCGAGAAAGCCAAGCAGCGATTGGGCCACACGTGACCATATTTTGGAGTCTTATCTAATATTATCGGATAAGCTTATCTTATCTACGGTCGGCAAGTCTTCATTCAATTGCATTTCAAGATCATTAGATCGTGAGGCCATTCAGGCCCATCGACATCGCAACCGAATCGAGTCCGCCGTGAGTATCGCTTGAAATCATCTTCGCTGGATCCAACAACGCCCATGGATCTTCGGGACCACCTTCCTTATGCTCCAACATCTGGAGCAGACCCGTCAACAAGCGGGTCGCGGACGCGATGTTGTCGAGATTGCTCTGCACAAACTCGCCTCGAACAGACCAGGAGCTCTCCTCTGTCGGGAATGTACCGGTTAGCTGTGAACCTAGCTTAGTCAGGTTGGCCTTGCTTCGGCGCATTTCATCCATCAACGCCAATTTGATTGGGAGAACCTGCGATCGCAGCACTTCTTCTGCGCGAGCCAGATAGCCTGGGCATGCAAAAATCTCACACGAGGCCAGCTCCCAAACCCGGACTGCTGGCTCTTCCATCACCAGCGCCGTTTTCACAATCATGTGTTTCCAGTCGATTGTGTCGAACGGACAGGCTCGACGCGACCAGAATGCTTCGACCAAGACGCAAGATCGATAGGCGACAAACAGCGGGCGGCCAATGCGACTGGTCAAGACGCCGGGCCCGCGGATTCGGAACATGTCGGAAATGCCGCGGGCATGCGCCAGCCACGCCGTCGACCCTGCCCCATCTGATATGGCATACAGACCCAAGAGGATGGCGGCGAAAAGCATCTCATCGGTAACAACAATTCCGACCCCCATAGGTCTAGGTGCCAGGGCAGTGCGTAGTTGCGCGGAGGCGGTGCCGTAGCGCTCCCAGCTCAGCAGACGCTGATGACGGTCGGCGTGGACGGTGGCCAAGTGCAGGGTGGTCAGGGCGCAGACTGCCCCTTGCACCACGGCGGGGGCGGTGTCCAGCTCATGGCGCATATAGATCATCGGATCGAGGGCGACATGGGCCTCGTAGCTAGCATAGAGGCAGGAGTAGTTGGTAGCAATCCAGCTGCAAAAGATTTCTCCGTGTTGGGTGGTAAGCGCACGGTGGGTGAGGGCGGGTGCTAGGAGTTCGTCGATGGGGAGGCCATGAGGATGAATGCGCCGGAGAATTGGTGCAGATGCTATGGTGGTACTTTGATTGGCAGGGGCTTTGTTTAGTCGAGGCCGAGGTTTGGGGATATGGGGGGTTTCAGGGCAAAATTTGAGAGCTCGAGAATAGCCAGGACAGGATACCCCACGGTCGCGGCATCGGCTACATTCCGGAATGGATTCATCGCATTTGATGCGGCGCTGCAGACAATTCCGGCAGCCGTGACTCCGAGGAACTCCGACCATTGAGATGGATAGATGGATAGTGGTTAGAAAGGGAACAGGGTCTGTGGGAAAATGGTTCCGTCACCAGCTTATTGTGGAACAAATTCCAATTTCCCCCCAGGGGTACGGAGTAGGAAGATGGGACTAATTGCCGCGGGAAGGCCGATACGGTAAGGTGGCATCTATAAGGTACTGTAGCAGGGAGTAATTATCGCTCGCTTCTCACGTACCGTACTGTACACCTGGATTCACACCGGTACAAACAGTGAAAAGAATCGTTCTAGAATATCCGAGTCCTCCAATGAAACAACTAGTGAGCAATGCTGGTCAGGACGCAATAACACCACACAGCCCTCCGGCGCGATACCATAGAGCGAGTAGGCCATGCCACAGCCCGGCGCGAACCCCTTGTTGTCGGCGAAGACCCTCCTATACTCACGGCCCCTCCGATCGTCGTAGGGGCGAAATATTGGGGGTAGACTCATGAGTTGAACATCGAACCTAGAGGCGGAATGGATCAAGTATACTGCTACTGACCCCACGGCTGTTGTCGCCCCTGACATACAGCGTGGAGCAAGGATGGAGTTACGGCGGGTGAGCTGTCTCGCCAGAGCTTCCACCCGCTGCATTTGCAACGCCTGGCTGATGTCGCCCCCGAAAACAAGCAGGTGCCATTGCCCGGTGCTCGGGAGTCTCTCTTGGAGATGCCATGGCTGTGAGTCACTTTGACAGAGCACAAGGACATCTGGCAGACGTCGACCAACCACAATGTTCTCAGCCAGGTGAGGCTTGCTACAGTAGAGGACTCCATTCTTGTCCGGTCGCGAGTGAGAGTTCCGGGTGCCAGTCACCAAGAGATTCGGGGGATAGGTGACACTCAGCCCTGAGGCTGTCGTGTTCTCCTCTGAGAGGGTGCCTTCAAGTCCTGTGGCCTTGTCCTTGAAGTCTGCCAGCTTTTCTCGTTCGGCCAAATCATCGTCCGGACCGGAGCAGACACCCAAGCACATCCGGTGATCAAAACGGATCAATCGTTCGGCGACAGGCAGTCTTTCTTCCTGGTATGTTTGCAGGATGGCAGGTGTAGCCACGCTTTTCAAGACCGAAGCCAGCTTCCAGCCCAGATTGTAGGTATCCTGCATGCTGACGTTCATCCCCTGACCAGCCTTGGGCGAATGGGTATGGACAGCATCCCCAGAAAGAAAGATTCGATCTTGCACCGAAAAATCCGTGCATAATCTCTGGCCAACCTTCATCAGAGTCAGTCGTAGTTCGCATGTTTACACACAAGTTGATCAGAACAAACCGTGTATATTGTACACCACTCGACGTGAGAGGTGACGAGGTAATACGGCTTCAACGCGTCGCCAAGAATTGACAAGAGGACAGAAGGCTGATGGTCTCTCCGAAATCGAGTCGCACATCTGGCGGAGAGCTGAACATAGAAGCGTACGAGGTTGTCTTCTCTGGGAATGACCATGACATTGCCGGCTGGGGCTTTGATGATGCACCGTTTGCGAATGTCAGCTGCGTAACATTAGTGGTCTGTCAGTGTAGACAAGCGATAGAGGTTCGAGAGGAGGAACTGACGAAAATCGGTGGTTGGTATACAGTCAAGCACGCCCCAGTCGCCGTTACTGGCAGTATTACCCTCCAGGCTTAACCCCACTTGTTTGCGAACCCAGCTGTGGGCGCCATCACAGCCGATTAGGTATTTGGTGCGCACGACCGACTGGTGTTTAGGGGTGTCAGCTCTCATAGCTTGCGAGGTATCCCAAGACTCACATCTGTGTCCAGACGTAGTTCAACAGCATATTCCCTGTGAAGGTCAACCAAGTCTTGGTGAATGAGGAGTTGCTGGGGTGATGTCTCCCATTTGATTTGCACATTTGGGGATTTGTCAATGAATTCGAGTAGACGTTCTTCAATCCGTCCTTGGCCAAGGGTGACTTCCTGGAATCTAGACAGCCCAGGGTTGCAATTGGGCGAGACGCTGTCGCGACATAAGACTCCTCGAGGGTCACGGTGCTAAAAGCATGCCTTGGGGTCAGGATTTCTCTCGACTCTCAGCGGGACAAGGTATACGAACCCACAAACACACTTCCATGGTCCTGTTGGATTCCTTCCAGATGATACCAGCAAGACCAAAACTGTCCAGAATTTCTAAAGTTCTACTTTCGAGCCCGTCTGCATGCCCTGCCAACGTTCTACACGACTTCGTCTCGATCACGAGGGTCTTGATGTTCAATTGAGCCATCCAAACAGCCGCCATCATATCTGTGGCCTTGAATTAGCCACCCAGCAACACCTCGGTTAGTCCTTTCACTTACCCAGCGGGCCCCGCCCCAATTATAACCACATCAAAGTCCACAGAGGGCGCTGGCTGTTCTCGGCAGATCATGTTCAGCGTCAGATGATAATCAGGTTTTTGTGGCGTAGTTAGTCAATGCGATGTCTGTTGAAACAGAAACCGTGCTTCGGGAGCGTGGAAGTTGATAAATATACTAGATGCCCAGACAGGGTGAAGTGGTGGCTTGTTTTGCAATCACGCAGTCTCCAAGTTTGTGGACATGCTTCTTGAACAAGCGTCATCGAATTCTTTTGCCATCAACACGTATGCAGTCGCAAGCATAAGCAGGCAAAAACTGGCTCATTTTGGTGCCTGTGATTAGTCAACGCTTTGGCCGCTTCAGCTGCCGCGTGCTGGTAAGGTAATCGGAATGCTTCTTCATCAATAACCTAAAGACATGATTTTCCTGCCGTCATTAAGGCATTACGTCGATGATGTAGTATCCAAAAGGCTCGTCCAGATCGTTTTCCACCGCTTGTTGCCCCGTTCACACAGTGACGTTGATAACACAACGTGAGCAGATTCAGTGATTTGAGTGACGTCCTACCACATGCTTATTGATCTGGAACTATTAGACTAATGTACTTGTCCTCCGAGAGACGAAAGGGTTATAAGTGCTCATGGGAGTCAGGTTCGTTCTACGAGAAATACACTTAACTCATTCCCAAGCACATCATCAAGCCTTATCTTTCATTGGACTTAAGCCATTCGACATTCCTCGAGGGAGTACAAAGACCATTTACATCGGAAGTAACAATGTCCAGCCACCTCGATTTGCTGAAGCAGACATGGGATCTGCTTGACCGATTCAGCAAGGTAGGTGATCAGTTAGTGATTGGTGAGAATGAACTCACCCTAGCAGCCGTCGTGGCCGTGTCAAGGTGAGATCATAACCGTTGGAGATATCAGTCAATCAGCGCAGGGGATAGATTAGCAGGTTAGCAAGACTAAGCTGTACTAGGGCTTCCGCAAAGGTAACGGTGCAGAAGTCGCCTGAGCTGATGCAGCGGTTGGTGAGGTGTGTTGACACCATGAATGCGGAACTTGAGGAGGGAGGACAGATATATGGTATATTCTAATACCCCTAACCGTGGCACTTCGAGGTCGATGGGTTGATGATCACTGCAGGAGTCAATACTGGGTGTGGGGGCAATGCAAACACACGTACAAGCAAGCTGCAAATCATCCAGCACTCATTTTTTCAGCACCACCAGGCAGGCATTCTTCCTCAGTTGGTCTATCCTCGAGGCAATACCTTGCGTGATATGAATCAAGAAAGTCAAAGCCTGTCGCCCGAAATCACTCGCGGCACTATTCTCCTCCGCTGCAACTCTCTCCTCCGTGGTCACTCGGCCGTTAGAATCGAGGTCATCGATCTCCTTCTTCGGGTCTTGAACGAGGGATATGTGCCACTAATTCCCCTAAGGGGTAGCATTTCCGCCTCGGGCGACCTGTCCCCTCTTTCATACGTTGGGGGTCTGGTGGAGGGGAATGCCGATGTGTTTGTGCGGTTCGAGGAGGAAGACGGCAAGCAGACCATTATCTCCGCGGCAGGTACTCTGCAGCGCCTGGGTCTCGGTCCCCTCAAATTGAATGCCAAAGAGGGCCTGGGCGTCATGAATGGCACAGCTGTCAGTACCGCTGCGGCTGGCCTAGCTCTTTATGATTGCCACCAGATGGCCCTCCTGGCGCAGGTCCTGACTGCCATGGCGACCGAGGCGCTCCTTGGAACCGTGGACAACTATCACGAGTTTATCGCCCGATGTCGTCCCCATTGTGGGCAAACCGAAGTTGCCCGCAATATTAGAGGTTTCCTGCGGGGATCTGCCCTCTGCCATGAGACCGATCCCAAGAAAACAGGGCTGGTGCAGGACAGTTACTCATTACGAACTGCGCCCCAGTGGATCGGTCCTCATCTTGAAGATATTATGTTAGCTGCACACCAGATCGACGTTGAGTTGAACTCCACCACAGACAATCCGTTGATCGACGTCGAGGGGCAGCGCTTTCATCACGGCGGCAACTTCCAAGCCGCGTCCGTGACCAGTGCAATGGAAAAATGCCGCTCGGGCCTAGTTATGCTCGGAAAGATGATTCAAGGCCAATGTGAAGAATTGATCAATCCCTCACTCAGCAGGGGGCTGCCTGCAAATCTAGCGTTGGACAATCCTAGCCTATCGTTCACAGTCAAGGGCCTCGATATCAACATGACGGCATATTACTCAGAGCTTGCATTCCTGAGCAATTCGATCAGCAACCACGTGCATTCTGCCGAAATGAATAACCAATCCGTCAATTCACTGGCGCTGGTCGCGGCCCGATATACTGGTGAATGTGTGCAAGTCTTGTCTATGATGTATGCTGCCCACTTGTATATTCTGTGCCAAGCTTTGGATATCAGAGCTCTCAGCATGGATTTCTTTGCCAAGGCCAAGGCGAAATCGAGAACGGTTTACCAGGAGATCTTCGGGGGTGGTCTAGAGTTGGCTTTGATCGATTTTGAATTGGTGTGGACACAGATCATTTCCACCTGGGATCAGACAGGCCATCTTGATCTCGCAGATCGGTGTAACCACGTTGCGATGCAGTCATTTGCTCATCTCCTGGACGTAGCGATGCGAGAAACGAATGCTTCTTCGTCCACCTTGTGTGGCCAGGTTAAGCAGTGGAAGGACAGGCTGTTGGAGATTATGGCCACCTGCTACGACGAGGCCCGGCAGAAATTCGTCAAGTCCCCCTCAACCTGCACCTACTTAGGTGAGGCGAGCAAAGCAATGTACCAGCTTGTCCGATGTGACCTTGAGATCCCCTTGCATCAAGGTATCAGCGATCATCCACCACTTGCGGCAGCAGCAGGAGAATCCGAAGGCAAAAGAACCATTGGCTCGTATGTATCGCGAATATATGTGGCACTGAGCGACGCGAGATACGTCGAGCGACTTCGGAACCTGGTTGCTTCGGAATGCAAGGCCGAATAAATGATGAGAGAGGTAGCAGTGAAAGAAATCCGGGCTGGTGGCAAGTGTGGGATTTGACTACCTGTTACTGTCCATGGGAATATGCATCCTGTCCGTACAAAGGATCCTAGAGCGTGGTCGGGGATCGGTAAGTGGGTTTTTCTGGCTTACTTGCCTATTAGATCCCGTCTATATTCGTAGCTTATTGTGCTGAGTTTCTGAAGTACTCTGTGCTTTGTTGTTCTTCTGTCTGTCTCTTTTCCTCTCTCCGTTCCCCCAAGTATCCGCCGTGAAGGAATCGGACTTGCCGACAGCCCAGCACAGACCGACATTTGTGTAGTACAGCACGGTACAGTATAACAAAGTAACCGATAGAGAAGTTAGTCTCATTCCTTGCTTGAAATCGACTGCACCACACAAGACGCAAGAACACGTGATATTATGACGGCATTATTGTGCACCAGAAATTAATGCAAGGGGCAGGGAAGAGACATGATGTCGACGATTTACGGGAATACCAGGCAATTCCAAGGAATAGCTAATGCATGATGACTATTTATTTGGCGAGAAGCTAGACTTCCGGTCGATTCCACCCGACTGAGCAAGATAGGGTTCAGGCATTGGCGAGAGATCCAATAAGCACAGGCAAGCACCCGCCTTTTACATCATATATATTTAAACCGTGGTTTGATTTCCATGAGAAGTATATTGAGAGGGATATAATATATGCCTTCTCCATCCCGCAACAGGGCCTTTTGATTATGCAGACAACCTTTTATCGCAGCTCTTGTGGATCTCTTTTATGTACTGTACTAGCGCTTTCAGGCTAGTTCCGTCCGAATTACCTCGAAAAGCTCAACCCCAATCGCCGGGATGATTCAGTTCTACTTGCCAGAAGGAACCGTTTATGTTAGTCAGTCTCAGCTGCCGAGGTTGAATTTCTACTTGACCGAAGACCCTGACCTTTAAACTAGCACAACGACGGTCGCGAGGAGAAACTATTGGAGTTTATCCTATCTCACCCCGACTATGCCTTGATGAAAGGTTGCCCAGACAGGATCCTAGCTGCCATCGACGAATACGGGAGGGAGAAAGCTTTTCTCATGAATGTTGGAACTGAGAAAGGTCAAATTGTAAGCAAAGTCATTTCTCGCGCCAAACCAAAGGTTGTCGTTGAACTCGGGGGCTACATTGGCTATTCTGCTCTTCTGTTTGGGGATGCACTTAGAAAGGCAGGAGGTCAAAAGTATATCAGCCTTGAAGTCAGCCCTATCTTTGCCAGCGTCTCCGCTGCTCTAATCGGGCTGGCTGGCTTGTGTGATACTGTTGAAATCATGGTAGGACCTTGTCGGGACTCACTACAAGCCCTAAGCAAGACATACTCCGGCCGTGGCTTGGACATGTTCTTTCTTGACCATGCCAAGGTTGAGTATACCAACGATCTCAAGCTTTGCGAAGAGCTCGGCTTGGTCTCGCAAGGTACTACCGTTGTTGCCGATAATGTCAGCCGGAACCCCGAGTATCTGGAATACGTCCGAGCATCGGGCGCAAAGAAGAGGATGGCGGCAGATAATAATAAGCGACTGACAATGTGTCATGAGTCTGACATGTCCCTTGGTCGGCCTGACCTGCGATATGAGACGTCCGTGGTTCACAGTATTGAGCCCACCGGAGAGCCCGTCAGTATTTGGATGTCTAGCAGTCCCGTCAGCACTAACAGATCTACAGGATGCAGTGGAGATTTCATATTGCTTGGGGAGTAGCTAGTGGAATGCAAGCCCTCATTAGTCAAGTTCCGTGCGCCGACAGGTAGTATAATTCAATCATTCGAGTATGATTGGGATCAAATTGAAGCGAGATGTCTTATTCTGAAAATAAGATGCAGACAATGTTCAGTGCTCTCCACATTTCTAGTCAACTTTGATCATCATACAGCACTGTATTCTTACTAAGCGAACAGTACAGCTTGCGACGAGACCATTGCTTCTAGGCCTGTGGGTTGTTGATATCGATCTCCCGACGATAGATGTTGATGACCTATGGCTACCGAGCTGTTTAGCGGCATATTCCTCCTCGACAAGCCTCGAGGTGAGATATTGACGAGTTGAGATAGCGGTCATCAAGGGGACTGACACTAAAGAAAGGCCATCTCACTGCCTTCTACACATCGATTGACATCGAGTGGTACAGTGGCGTGAAGAAATCGCGGAACTGGCAGGACTCGGCCCATGCAGGGTTCATGTAGCCGGTCTGGAACCAGCGAGGACAATCATATCAGGCAAAATACTTGTTGTATAATGACCAGAAGTAGTGACTTGCAAGCTCGTCACCAGCAGCATGTTCGAGAACGAGACATGTAGCCCATGCGAAAATTTGCATTGAGCTGCGACGTTATGCAAGCATGATTCTTTTAGGCACGCAAATCCAGAAGTCGGGGCACCAGGAAACAGACTAATGATGAGTAAAAAAGTCTGTGGCAAGACATTCGGAACCGTCGGCATCGGAGTTAGCATTTTTCATAATGTCATTCTAGCTGCTTGGGGTAAACACTGTGAGCAAAGATGCGTCCTATACTATTTGCTGCGGTTCATCGCGATCATTTAGCGTGAAGCCAGCTTTGTTAGTGCTTTTTTTCGGAATGAGGTATCTACTGAAGACAATCGCGCTCTTCGGGGCGAATGGTTAATTTGGAAAGGCTTTTTTGGAGGCTCTAACGCGCTGCAAAGATTCTGTCTTTCATATATTCGCGTTTGTCTCTCCCAACTCGTCCTTCCAGCTCGCAAGCCTGGAAGATGCTAGAGTGACAATCAAGCGCGTCGATCTGGGCATTGTCACTTGTGATGAGCTGGCCGCTATTCTTGCTGATGGCATGGCTGACGTTGCGATCAGCGCTCTTGGTGGCCAAATTATCACCAAGCCAGGCCTCGTCCAAGATGCGGCTGCACAGGCAGGAGTCAAGAGATTTGATCCCAGTGAGTTTGGAATGCATCAAGTACTCTGGTTACCAGGGGAAGCAGCGTATGTCCATCTGGGATGTGAAGCTAAGATGCTTCGAGGAGGCCATTCGACACCCCGCTATCAACTGCGGCTCAATGTCATAAAAGAGCCGCTCCTCTGCCCTTGACTGGAAACAGATACAAGCCTCACTGGGGACAGCTACACGATACACTGCGTTGGCGATCCAGAGGCCAAGACGGACTATTTTGCTTTACACGACAACGCCGATTTTGTTGTGGCTACTCTTCGACATCCAGAACTATCAGAAAACAAATACTTAGGGTTCCGGAGTGATCAGCTCAGCCTCCGAGAGGTGGCAGATCTTCTGCGGAAGTATTCAGGCAAGCCCGTCAGGTTAAAAATCATACCAGTCGATCAAGTGGAAGAAATCCTCAAGAAATCCCTCGTCTGCGCCCGTCGAGTGGCACAGAAAATGTACATTCCCGATTGACTTCTTTCTGACTCTAAGGTGTGCTCAAGGCCAGGGTGTGTTTTGGGAGCCCCTTGGACTTTTGCACAACCATCTTTTCCCCGAGGTTCAACCGGTTACCATAGCTGAGTACTTTGAAAGGTTGTTCGCGAAGTGAGATTGTTTGCGCTGGGATTGTTATAGTCCAGCTTAGTAAGTAAGCGGGTTGAATGTCGATACACGTTTAGATCAATTCAGTCAGATATTTGCTCGCCACCGGAAAACATCAAGACCTTGTTGCAGCAAGTGGGGAGCAGACGTCAGCTATGGAATCTACGCTCAATGACGAGTCACCAGGGCAGACACTTAAATTCTTCTGGGTGCATCCTCAAGAACTGGACTAATCAACCTCAGAGGTATGATATCATACTGCCAGGTGTCCAGTAGGCGTAGACAGAAGAGCAAAGACAGACTACCTGTTCGAAACCGAGTCATGATCCCTGGGATGCATCAGCACATTAATGAAATGCGTCATTCGGTGAAGAGGATGGGGGTCATCCACTTGCCGACAGTTAAAATCTGTCATTTGACGTCAGACATTGCACATATTGCCTTAACTTTGGCAGCACAGTCCTGGGAAATCATGGTTAAATAACCCCCGTTGTGATGCCCAATCTATGCCTGCTGTGGCCCAGGGATAGACGATCACAACCACTGAGTCTTCCAGCATTTGCCTTCCACCATGAATAAAACGCGATCGACAGATACACCCACCGAGAAAGAATGCTTTCAAATTGGCCACCGACTCCTGAACTTCCTTGCGGGCATGGTCGATGGGGAGCCGGATAGGCCGGTCATGCGGCAACTGTTGCCATCTGCGACCAACGCCCCGAATGACCAAAACGAGATCATAATGGGCTACAAGAGCCTTATACGACTTATTGATAGAGTGGCCTGAATGTTGAGTCGAAGCCTCTCACTGGAAGATGCCACTTCACAGACTGTCGGGTAAAGGCCTACTACCTCCCTCACCCCTTTTTGCTTGGGTGAAGATATACTAAGTCCTTGGAGATCTAGTTATCTATGTCCAAGTGACCCTAGGCATCTGCTCTTTGCATTGGCAGCGACGAAACTGGGCGCGAAGGTAGGTGCTTGAAATGGAAGTTGCCTGGGAGACACATTATCTCACCCTACTTTTCCATCCGGTATTCCAGGCTCTGCTGCTCTCGCCCCGAAACAGTGTCTCCATGCATAAAGTGCTTCTCGATGAGTCTCGTTCAGCACTTCTGCTTTGTGATAATGCCTTCACAACTGCAGCAACCGGGATAAGGAAGCAGCAAGGCATTGGTCTTCTTTCATTCCGGATTCTGTTGGATCTTGTTATTGATTCGAGCCCAGTCGAGCCCTTTTTTTATGTGGAAACCTGGGCCACCTCCGGTGGCAAGCCTCTAGTAGTAAGTAACCTCAGAGAAGAGTGTTTAAGACGGGTTCATTTTATCTAACGCCTAACAGAGCCTCCATACTATAGGTTCTACTGGTAACCCCTCGCCGATCACTATGACTCATTTCGCGTTGGCATCACCCGACGCGCAGCAGAACTTGTCAAAGAAAGATGCCGCTGGGTGCAAGTTCTAGCTTGAAATTCTCGCTGAGGCTGCGACGGTGTCTATGGCATTTCCTCTTTTTCATGTCGCTGGGTTCGGTCTCAGTTGTTATTTGGTCCCCTCGGGCTGTACGCTCTTTTTTGGATATCCTCGACAACCACCTAGCGTCGGAGCCTTGAAGTCGGTCCTAAAAATTCCCAACGTGGACAGCGTCCTGTTGCCGACATCTATTATCGATGAGCTCTCTAGCAATGCCGACCTTCTGAAAGTGGTGCTGAAGCTGTGGTATATATTTGGCGGAGGTGGTATGACAAAACTACCAGGTCCCAGCGGCTCCAACTAACACGATGGAATAGGCTCAATATACAAGAGTGCAGGCGACATCGTTGAACAGACCACGCGTTTATTCAACGGCTTGGGTAGTACTGAGTGTGGCTCATTCATTCAATATCAGACCGATCCAACCGATTGGGCATACTATCATTTTCATCCTTGGAATAGGGTGAAAATGGCGACCAACCTCGGACCAGGAGTCGCAAGGCGAGGATTTCGAGTTGGTACTCCAGCATGACCACTTCTGTTTGCAAATCAGGCAGTGACCCAGAATTTTTCTTATCTACGATAGTGGAGGACCAAGGATGTGTTCCGGGAACACTCTTGCATCCCGGACTACCGGACTACTGGGAATACCGGTACCGACTGGATGACCTGATCGTCTTCTCGACCGGAGAAAAAATGAACCCATTGCCGGTGGAGGCTAAGTTGAGAGATATTGCGGGTTTTAGAGAAGCCCTGGTCGTGGGGAACAAGCCATCTCGTTTTGTCTTTTAATTCTTCTTGAAATGGAAGCCAGCAAGCGTCGCTATAGAGCCGGGGGCGATTCCATCGACAGAGAACGAACGGCCATAAAACATGTGCTGGAGTCTGAGAATGCAAAAGGCTCCGGAGATAGTCAAATTCATGACAAAATGGTGATAATAGCGAGTCCCAGTAAATTGTTTGTTCGCACTGAGAAAGGCTCCGTGCATTGGAATAAAACGCTCGAGCTGTATAAGACTGAAATTGTGTCTTCATGGCCCAAGCCAGTTTCCTGAGTTTGAGCTGTCAGGCCTCGAAGAAATCAGCTTTTGCTTATCTCCCGAGCATAATCTTGCAGTGGACCTAGTTGATATGATAGGGAAGCTAGATTCTGGGCTAGCCGATCTTGATGTGACAACAAATATATTTGCGGCTGGGCTGGATTTCAAATACGCGCAAATTCTGGCATCATTCGTCTCTCAGATACTGGCCGACCAGAGGCGCGGACGAACCTTTTTTGAGGCAGTCTACGAGAACCCTTCACCAAAACAAATGGCGGGCTACATCATGCGGCAGATGCTCCTATCTGAGGGACGGGCAGATGACTGGAAGGATAATGATTCTGTATAAGACAGGTATGAAGTGTTCACCTGCATCCACAACCTTTTTGCTTATGGCTTTTTCAGACACTCTCAGACCCTTACTAGAAGCCCCAACAAGGATTATCTCGGCCTCCAAGTCTCTGGACGAAAGACATCTTTTTATCACTGGAAGTACAGGGTTTGTAAGGTCGCATGTACTCAATGCAATCAAGCATCAGGAAGATGTTGGCCATCTGATGTGTCTGGATCGAAGGCAAATCCAGGATCATGCGATTGAGGGAGTCGACTCCAATGTTCATATTGAGTATATAAAGGCCGACCTGGCTGAGCGCCGCCTGGGATTTCTAAGGGAGATCTATCAGCGGCTGTTAGGGAAGTGTGACCGATATTTTATATTGCCAATGGGCAGTGGACTTCAGTCGCTCTTTGGCGTATATTGAGCCCAATATCGCAGAGGTCGAAAATCCGATCACTTTTGCTCACGAGGCAAGAGATAAGGTACATTTTATTTCCCATCTTCAGTCGCAACGGTAAAGCGATGGAACGACAGCAGTTTCAGAGACCTGCTTGCCCTCCCCCAAGATTGCTGAAACCGGGTACGGCCTGAGCAAAGCTATTGCAGTTATGTTGCCGGACCAGGCTGTCCAAGCCGCGAGCATGCGAGTGTCAATCTGTCGCCTTCGTCAGCTTGCTGGCCCAATTCAGGATGGGAGAGATGGCAAAGCTCATGCGTGGCCACTTTACGATTGGTTCCCATTACTGCTGTCTAGTTCCGTTGTATTGGGCTGCCTGCAAGACTCTCTAGTCTCTGCCGATCAGATTGAATGGCTACCGGCTGACACTGTAGCAGATCTGCTATGCAATCTCATCAGCCTGTCGGAAAACAGCACCAGCAGAAGAATCGACGAGGATCTGAGTATTTTCATCTCGTTAATCCCCGTCGCGTTCAGTATGCCAGCCTAGTCTCTTTTTTAGCAGCGAGACTGAGACTGCTCAACGAAGAACTGAAAGTCGTGCCATTGAGGGAGTGGGTTTGTGACCCTAGATGAGAAAGGAAATAGGACTGGATCTATAGCCGGCGTTCAGCTACTTAGCTTCTTCCAGGAGCTTGCAGATACCTCTTATCAAGGCACTATCCTACTGGAAACGACACTCACTGAGAAGCGGTTACCACGGCTCGAGGAATGCCCACCAATCAGTCCGAAATGTATAAACATGTAGCTAAGGCACCTAGTGGAGATGGTGCCCCCTTCCAGGAAAGACTAAGCGATAAACCAATTTAATTTGTCGTTTTCCGGGCGGAACTAACCCTGCTTCGTGGAGGGCGCGAGACCTTTCACCTATAGGTTAACCATACCTATGGGATATGGTTGCTTCTTTAAACCCAGAAAGAATGGTTGACCGATGATACTTGCCATTCTGAAGTTATTGCTGTCGTTCACAGGAGAGGTCATTGTCAAAGCATCCATTCAACACGATACAGAATGTAACTTGTCACCTATATTTCAGCAGCACCGGGTTGATACTGGAAGGGGTAAGAATACGGAGTTTCATTCAGCTGCAGTCTACCTACATCGTGACCTGACACATATCAATTTACGCCCATATTGACCGCCCCGTGCAGAGCAAGCATACCAGGAAATAAGCGCTGTTCCGCAGACCGCATAGCGTCTTTTGATGTCGTCTGATCAACCGCTTGCACTTGGTGGATGGTGTGAAGCACGGCTATGCATCCTCCCTGCCAGTCTGTCCGGAACCTGCCTCCATTTCGTAGGATTCCAGAACTACCAGAGTGTACTGTCCGTGTGTAAGGTCGCCCCGAAGTGGATATTGGATCCCGGGCCGGGCGATGGGCTGGCTGAGAGTCTGAATACTGCTAGCTCCGCTGGGCCTATGCTGAGCGTGCAACTCAGCAAGACTTTCCCTGCGCCGCCGAACTCAGGATCTGTGATGCAGCAAGTGTCTGGAGATCATGCACATTAGGGTCGGAGGCACATGCAAATCGATAACAGTGGTATTGGGACTCAGGACTAGCATTGCGTCCATGACGGCAAGTCCTATTTTTGCACTCGCAATGATCGAAAGCCGAGTGGCTTTGTCTTCATCGAATGATCGGCAGTGTTTGTGGCGGCCAATGTCATCGAGACGGTTCTCTGAAGCAAAAAAAAAATTAGGATACGACTTTGACGTAGGAAACCCCTATACTTACAACGCTGGTGGGGGATCCGAATTTGGGTTGTTTCGTAGTCGAGATGATCCTTGAGAAATGGCGTCGGGAAGGCGCGGAGTATGGACAGCGGGGTTTCATGTAGTATCTGGTAGATGCTTCTGCTTCAAGGTACATCGACATTGTGATTGAGGGGTTGTGTTCGTGGGGCGTGGGGAAAGGTTTGCGGAGTGAGTCGTGCTGGCAAGGGTTTATACTCGGTAGCAGGTCGGAACGCTGATCCGAAGGAGGGCCGGGCAAACCTCCACTCACTCACTGCATCGGGTGCATGTACCCGGTGGACTTCCCAATACAGTAGGTGAATGCGAGATGGATCCATGAACCATGATATGACCCTTTGATTAGAGGGGAAATTCGATCCCGATGCCGCAGTGTCGAGTAAGTCTTTGACAGATTGCATTACTCATCGCATAATAGTTGCAGTGCTATTGCTGATTTTCAGCTGCTTCTCTGTCCTACAAATGCAAAGCCACAGCCTGCATTGACTGGAGTGGCATAAATAGATTAGTAATCAGTGCATTATTTTATCGTATGACAATAGGGCATACGTTTATGTCGCTCTTAAAATAAATACCACAGGCAACACGCCACTGTGTGTAGTTGAGATTATCGTAAAAAGAGGACGACATGGCGAGTATTCCGACAACAATGCGATCTGTGGTGGTGATTTGGCAAGAAGAGAGAGTGACCGCCGAAGATCTTGCCTGAGACTGGATCATCACATGGAGTTTGCCTGCATCTGAGATAGACTGTGACAAGAAGTGCGATAAGATCAAGTCAATTCCAGTGTCACATTCAAAAGGGGCAGGAGCATGGAACAAAAATAGGTCGCAATATTGACATTGATGAACGAACCTCAGAAAGGTTCTTTGCCTTATGTGGCCTGAAGGGATTTGGGATGAAATCATCCGTTCTGTTCACTGGGCTGTCGAGGTCCGTAGAACGAATCTTACACAACTTGCGTTCCCTTCGTAGCTCAAGTTATCACCCGCATAGCAGTGATGCCATTTCAAGATAGAATCGACGGTGAACTCCGTATACAAGCGTCCACAATACCGGGTCATGCCATTGCCGAGGCTACGCATCCGATGGCTCCCGGCCGAGATACACATTGAAGTCTATCATGACTGCGAGAGTAGATGACCAATTATCTATGTATCCGTTGCGAACAAATTGACCGTATGAATGTATTATCCGTACATTGACTCGTTCTAGCATCCGAAGCATTAATCTCTCGGACTTCCCGACGGATTCCCCACTCGGTGCCCACTCAGGTGGCTCTCACCCGTCGGACTACATCGGGACAATTCTACTCAACCCCGCTCACACATCTGTGCAGCAGACACCTCTCATTGAAGCCAGAGTATGCATGATCTCCGCTCAAAGACAACGCTCCAGGCGGAGACTGGGTATGTTTCCGGATTGGGGGAGTACACGCAACGATAAGCAAATATACAAGCCAACGTAGAGACTCCACCATAGTCGAGAGATAACAATAATGCATTTATATGGGAACGTGCTCTACATATCCTATGACGAATTCGAGTTGTCGGCACAGGAGAAAGCTGCCGAGCCTCCATCCTCACGGTAGGAGGTCATAATCATATCCACTGAACCATACGTCCCTGCCACAATGAGGAAGGTCCCAAGAATAATGAGGACCAGGGTCCACATCACCCCAAGCATCCAGCGAATGGTCCTTGAGTGTCCCTCGGTGCCTCTGCCCCAGTTGTCATGGAGCCACATCGCCGCCATAGGGATGATGCAGATCAGCGGACCCAGCAAAGCGCCGATCAGCGAAACCAGGGCATCGAAGATAGGAATTGTGCTCGCAATAATCCATGCCACGAGTGTGATCCCAAAGGTACAGCTCAGCCAACAAATCCAATGGGTGGGAGTGCTGGTGGTAAGATGTCGAGACCCGCGCAGGGCATGCACAAAGATGAATTTTGAGGGGATCTGAATATGACAAGTGACAATTAGCATATATGATCTTCGGTGAGACTTCGAGCACGTTGCTAAACTGACATGTGTGACGATGGTCATGGTGACCATGAGTCCAGGCAACGCGAAAGCATAACTGATGATCTTGATGATGCCGCCAGCCGAGCCGAGAGCGGGCGAGGCAACATAACTGCCACAGTAATAGTAGATCACGCAGCCGATGGTTGCATAGACAACTGTCACCGCCGCCTGACAAGTCACCATGGCGGCCGTGTACTGTTGCGGATCTCGCATCTCGGACACAATGGAAAAAAACCCTGGTGTACCAGAAAAGGCAAACAACAGGTTTGAAACGGCGGCGATCCCATCAGAAAACGATGGATTTCCAAATGCCTTCCAATTCGAGGCCCAGGGGCCAGTCGTTGCTGCTGGTGCCCCCGCCGGGCGATCTTCAACACCCACAGCAATGGTCACGATCAACACTGGACTAGGGTCAGTTGATGTCTTCCAGTGGTTATCACAATTCCCAGAAAGGCTCTCAGTCATACCAGCGGTGAGAATGCATGGCAAGCCAATCCAGGCCAGCCAGGTGATTTTCCCCAGGGTCCGGATGCTGCTGCAGGCAAATCCAACAATCGCTGCAACCGCAACAAAAACAGCCGTGCAGGTGGCATGCGATGAGACGGCATTCAGCCCTACCGAGAGACCCAGGATGGCCGAGCCACTATTGAAGACGTAGTCTGAAACAGAACAAGTCAGGTCAAATTGATGGATTAGGCAGAGTCGGATCACTCGATCACCTACAGAGGCAGAAGCTGGCTGCTAGAATAACCCGGCCTGGCAAGCCCAGCATAATGGCACCAGCATCATCCAAACTATACACCTCGCGGTGCTGCAGCTTGAAGGTCCCAACAACATAACCGGACCAGGTGGTGATCATGGCAAACGCGAGCAAACAGAGCAAGCCGGGAACCATTCCCAGGGCATTCAAGGCCGAGGGGATGGCCAGCACACCCAAGCCAATCTGGGTCTTCATCATAAGAATAACTGTGCCGACAAAGCCCACCTACACCACTAGTCAGCTGCTGGACGTCACATTTGGTTTCGGGGGAACCACATTGCGATAGTTGGGTCCACTCTCGGTGAGTTCCCCGAAGACATCGTCATTAAGGATGGTGGCTTGCGCGGGATCGTTCTCTGGATGCTGGGGTTCTTTTTTGTCAATCATGGTGGGCAAATCTATAGCGTTGGGCAATGGAGGACTTGAGAAGGCGAGGCCGATAAGATAGGGGACACACCTCCATGTTTATATCTCAATGAAACCCAGCGGGACTCCATTGAACAAGCCAATCAGTGATGACGTAAACAACCCTTGGGCCAACTACTTACCGAACGCCAAGAACGAGAAAGTCCGGGGCCCCGCATTGCTTGAACGAGTCGCTAAGGTACTAATTTCATCAAATCCACGAGTTAGGGTCGGATACGAGCCGAGACTTCCCGGCAACTTTCCCGGTTAGTCGGTGCGATCCGAGGCTGTCCATCTTGCGTCGGATCGAACTCTGAGTAATCTTGTGCCAGGTTCTAATAGCCCCGATCCTGTTGTACTCCGTAAGGATAATGTCGGGCTCTTTAGCCCGTCAGGCATTCACCCATGGGTGCCTTGGCACCCATGAAGTATTTTAGTAATTTGTTCAGAGCGAAGGCCCTTCAGGCCTTTCTCTTCCCTTTCTTTCCCTCAAAAATGGAATTCTTGCCTGGCTTAGTTCATCTACTTTCGTAGGCTCACAGATAAGAGTCAAGGATAATTATTATTATTCGGGGTCATGCCCTCCACGACGCCCTGGATTCTCCATCCTTTCCGTGCGTACCCTATCTAGCTCCCTGTGCATTGAGTCTGGAATCTGCATTTCAACACAAGCAATCTTAGTGATAACTGTGGTTACTGGCGACCGGTAGGAGCTTGGGATTGTCGAGTATAGAACAGCGTGGTTTCCATCAACTCCAAGCAATAGATTAGGGGTATTTCAACCTGCCTCATGAGATTTGTTCTTTCTTTAATTGAACAACTCAATAATCATGAATTGGCTCCGTTTGGTCACACCTCGAAGAAATCAGGTTGCATCACTTATTGCGCTCCATGTCTGACCGTCATCTCGCGCAACAAGCGGCCGCTCGTAGGCCCCAGCATGGGTAGTCCACCAGTCTAATGTGGCCCAATCTACTCGAAGAATGCCTTGCTGTTTTTCATAGTAGAAGTCTCTGTCAAGGTCCTCAATCGCATCTACGTACTTCCTGATTATCAACCTCCCCTTTGGGTCTTTTTTGGGTCCATCCGCGAATATTTGGCGCAGCTTCTTGGGTAGCACAGGACTTACATCATCGGAAGAATCCAAACCGACCTGCTTGAGTACATGCTCCGGAGGTTGCTCTAGACAGAGCGTCTGCCGCATGTCGAGAATCTTGCAAGCCACAACCGCGAAGGCGAAGACATCGGATGCGGGACTCCAGGTATGCAAGGATGAGATCTCTGGCGCATGGAAATCTCTAGCTTCTACGCTCGCATTGAAAATATCAGTGGCCGTGATATGCTGTTCTTCGCCAATATCTGCTATTATGGCGGAAAACTCGGATGAGAGACTTTGTGGCTGATCTGGGAAGATCTTTTCTGTAACAAGGATATTGTTGAGGTGAAGGTCTCTGTCCAATTATCAACGCATTTCCTGGGCACAAAAATTTACAAGCACCGAAGGCTCTGTATTTAGCCTACCTGTGAATGACACCATGTGCATGCATTGTATGGATGCCGGTCGTAATGCCAACGAGTATATCCACGACGAGTCTCCATGATTCTTAGGGTTTACATTAAAAATAATGTAAACCCTAATAAGAAGAATTATGTCAAGTATACTCGAGAGCATTTCCTGTGTCATGAAGAGATGTCAAACTTGATTCAATTTATTTAGAAAACATGGTAATACTTATTTCGCGGGGTACACGGCAGAATAACAACTAAATCAGAAGGAACAACCTTGGAGTGTTGTATAGTCTCCTGTCTAGGTAGGCGATTATATGCAAGTATATGTAAGATCGTTGAGGATCAATCTGATAGATCTCATCGTTCGACGACGAGGTTAAGTAATCCGATGAGGGGTAAGAAAGGTGGGTCTTTGGTCGCATTTCGACCGTACAAAGGGTTTTAGGGTTTACATTAGGGTTTACATTAGGGTTTACATTAGGGTT